CAAGAGAAAAGTACAAAGTATATATTATAAAAAAAATGCAAAAATATACATTTATAATAATAACGACGAACGAAACGAATGTTAATAATGCATGTATACTAATAACACAAATTTCGGTAAAGTTATATCAAATACTATTTTGGTATTTTGGACATGGTCAAGATAGTCGAAGATGGGATTAGTTTTCAAATAAAACTTAAAACGTCTATGTAATACGCAACGTAATTAAGAACATCTGGAAAAAACGGATTTTCAAAAAAATATACACAATGTTTATAAATAATTTAGTCATTCATTATTAGCATTTAATATCCCAAAATAACAATTAGTTTAGTATGTTATGCACAGGACGAAATAAAAAGAAAAAATATGAAACAGAAAGAAGCTTTTTAATACTTGCATGTTTTTTTATTCATCCTGTAGAGTATACTAAACAAATTGTATAAAATATACCACAAAACAAGCGATTTGATCTAAATAATTTTAACATTAATCAAGTTTCCTTTGTCTTTGTTTTTTTGTTTGTGAACACCGTGTATATTTCATTTTCCTTTTCTTTATTGATGTCATTAATATAAATGACAAAACCAAAATCAGATTTACTGAAAAAATGTACATGTTGTATATAAATGTATACATTTACATTTGCTAAATTGCCTAACCAGTATAACCTGTCCTAATACACATTGGAATAGCATCCTTGTCTTTATAAACTGTTTTTATCTTTTTTTTTAATTTCGTTACATAATTTAATTACTGATCGTTATTTATTATTAATTTGTGTATGAAAGTTATGCAGTGGGCTGACCCGCTCTGTTTGGTCCCTATTTTTTCTTATTTTGCCAATCCGAACTCTTTAGCGTCGTCTTCTGTGATATCACCATATTCCCAAATGTTAAGATGCGCTTTCCTTGCCTTTTCTTCGCTTTCTTTGTACTCAGAAATCTTTTTGAAAAACAAAAATTGAACTTTAATAGCTTAATGATTAGCACAAAACTAATATAAATCTTGGTGTTTCACAAGCCAATTATTTAAAGCTTGTTTCGAACCAATTTAAAATAAAAATCTGCAAATTAAAAGAATACTTTATTTACCAGTTTCTGCAGCCGTCTTTCCTTCCTCTTGTCAACCAAGAACATTCCATCTTCTATCAGGCTTTTTATGATGTCTTCCTTGTTCTCATTGACAAGCGTAACTGAGGGAGGAGACCCTTGAATCTTGTATTCAACGTTGAGGAGTAACTTGATGTCAGCGGTGTCCTCTCGTAGGCATTTTAGTGTAGCCTCTCGATACTCGGGATCCTTCGGGAGTGTTACGCACGCCAGTGAGTACTCGGATGCGAATGGCTTGTCGGCAGTAAAGGCAGCGGGAAGACTTGCGAGGCGGGTTACATTAACATTCTATTAAATAAAAATGAAACATAATACTTCATTTGATTTCAAAAAGGAGTTGAACTCACCTCTCGATTACCATAATCGATGTAGAGAATGCTAGCGGTGGTGCCTTGTAATTTTTCGACCTTGGCCCTGTACCACTCGTTGTCAACGGAATATTTAGCAGCACAAATGTCCCCTCGTTTCGGATTATAAGCACCTGCAAGTGGTGGATTCACCTGGAATTCTTGTCGAATTTTAGCGTTCAGCACCTCAGCCTTAGGACCTTCCTGAAAGCTTTGTACAAATATTGTTCCATCATTCGTCACTTCTGTTACCAAAACTTCTTCATATTCGACTTTCCTATCGGGATTCTAAAAAAAAATCACAACGTAATATTATATCTCGACTTCTAACTTTATGTATATGCATTCTGATAAATTACAACAAAAACGACAAGGTATTTTAAATTAATAAACAAAAAGTAAATATTTACTGATTGTTCTTCTTTAATCTTCAATTCTTCTTCTTTCTCTTCAACAAATTCCTTCCACTGTCGCAATTTCTTTTGTTTAGCTGTATCTTCGGCGTTCTTTAATTGCCTCCAGTATTCTGTTCGGTCTGCATTGGGGTGAACTGTAGCAAAACCTTCTTCGACAAGAGCTACCTGCAAAAGATGAAAAATAAAAGATTAACTCAGAATTTCATAGTATTTTTCTATTTTACTTTATTAAATAAAATACCAAATCTGAATTATAAGTTCAACTCTTACCGATAAATTCGTATTTTCAATCCATAACCAGCCGATAAAACTGCCAGCTTTATCTACTGTATCGACCTGAATAGATACTTCTCGTTGCAGACATTTCTCTTTCGTAAAAGCCAGAGCTTCTTCGCCGTAGGGCTCGGCTTCTGTGGCAGGGGCATTTCCCATTGCAGGTCTCGCCGCCCTCGGACAATTTACACCGCCTTTTCATGCGCAAATAAATAAGAATTACATACACAATATTCACTATCCAACAAAGAAAATCTTCAATCGAAAGAAAAAGAATACATTGGTTTATTTATGCTTTTTCTCGCTCACACAGTACTGAATAAAACAACTTTTAGAATGAGCATTAAAAAAATTAAATATTTGAAACCAAAACTATAAACATTTCAAAAGACTAATAATTTTGACCACATAATAAATATATGCAAATATTTTATAAAATCTGTAATACACAAGTAAAATGGAATTATGGTGTAATTTGTACGTAGTGTGAAATAATGATTACAACANCTTAAAGGATATATATCAATGAATGTTTTTATTTGTCAATATTTAACAAATAAATTACTATTAAAAACTCCTGCTACTGTATCAAATATAATTTGAAAAAGAGCATTAAAAAAATTAAATATTTGAAACCAAAACTATAAACATTTCAAAAGACTAATAATTTTGACCACATAATAAATATATGCAAATATTTTATAAAATCTGTAATACACAAGTAAAATGGAATTATGGTGTAATTTGTACGTAGTGTGAAATAATGATTACAACATATTACATATCATAACCATTTTGGATAATCTACAAAAATACTATTGCATCATTTTTGCCACAGACATTAATATATTTCACATCTGTGAGGTTTTTGATGCATAACATTAAATGACAATAAAAATAAAATTAAAGACCAAATTAAAATGAAATTTACCAATGATAATTTGTAATATAAATATACAAATTAATCGTAAATTAAGTACCTGAGAGGCGTTCACCTTAAAATTATATATTATCAAATGATTGCACTTACCCAAGAGAAAAGTACAAAGGCAGTGCTCCTTAGGAATGAAAAGTCGAAGACGTGAACCGCTGGCAACAAATTCGACAACAGCATCGATCCGGCCCGCCCTTTGGAATGATGATAAGAAAGTTTTTGATTTCGGAGCGTCCTAAGTAACAAAAAAAAAACATCTCACAAAACTTGTTAAACTCTACAACAAAATTTACTCACGATATCGATCACTCTGGTGACATTTTCCTTTTTCGAGTGCAATCCTCTCTGACTTTTGTTGGCTTTCATCTCTGCAGCAAGTAGTTCGTCATAATGGGAACTCCTTTGGTCGTCGTCCTGTCGGTAACGAACGACTGTTGCTAATCCCTTTGATACCAATGTTTCAGCCACATTGCTAATACAAGAGGAAAATGTTCAAAAAATCAGTTATACAACATCACATCTATCTGTAGTTATCTTTATCAAACGAATAATGCCCCTACACATGAAGAGGTGAAAAAAATCTCTTTGGTTGATTGAAACTAATTTTAACAGACATTAAAAAAGGAACTTACAGCCCACCGATTGTGACGGTTGCGCATGTCTTTTCTGGAAAGTTGTCTCGCGCCTCCTGAATATAATCTATAACTACATGCACCTTTTTACCAATCAACTTCTTGCGCAGGTATTCACGGGCCTCGAACATCCATGGGATGTCGTAAAGGGGGCGAAAACCTTTTGGCCTTGGAGGAAGTTTGCCGTCTTCGTTCGGGTCACTGTAATAAAAAAACATTTATTTATTTTAGCATGGCAAACAATAACAAATCAGAAAATTTAGGCTTTCACTACCGGTGTCAATTGTTAGCGAATGATCTTTCGAATTTGATGACTATGCTCTTATGGGTTCACTTCCCTTTGTAAACCCTTGTTTTGTATCAAAACCGACAGATCACTGCTTAACAATAACAAATTAATTAGTCGTTTGTGTTTTTATACTCGAATTTCAAATACTAACCGTCCTGCTTCTCGAGGTGGTCTAATACTGGAAAGGAAGATTTTCTTTGTTTGGCCATTTGGTAATTTTACTGTTAAAGAATCTCCGCCATTTATTTCTATAACTGTCCCACTAAATTCTTTCTCTTTCCCAGTGATTTGGGGAACCTTTGACTGATAATCCTTCCAAACTCTAAGATTTGCCTCTTTCGCCTTTTTCTCAGCTGCTCTCAGTTTATCAGCACCCGATTTCATAAAGGCCATTGACCAATCTACACATTTGGCAAAGCCCTCCTTCAAGAGTGCTTCGGCAATATTACCTTTTGGATGTAAAATGGTACCCACAAAATTGTTGTTATTCACCGACTCCAATACTATTTCAACTTCACGTTGAAGAAGGCGAATTTCAACGAAATATCGAGCCTCTTCAGCAAATGGCACCTTTACCGAAGTGTCCGGCTTACCTTTATCGTCCAATTTAAAACCAGGACACTATCAGCCAAGAAAAAAGAAAAGACAAGTAAGAAACAGTAATCTAAAACACAGGCACACAATTTTTATAAAATAATTTTTATAATAAAAATTGTGTATCTGGGTCTTTAATTATAATGGACTTGTAAGAAGTTAGAAAATCATCTATTCAATTTCTACAAAAAAAGCCTCCTCAAATTTTAAACAACATACCATATCCATTCATTCCTGACAAACAAAAATTAAAATGAAAGAAAAAATAAATCGAAATTACCCTAATTCCTGAAATCATGAGCGTAATGTGATAATAATCGGGTAATAAAAATGCTCGCACTGTGGATCCATCTCGGACATGTTCAATGATTGCTTTAATGGGTTTGCCCCCTTGCTGATCAACAAAATCGCGCATCTTCTCAATAGACCATTTGATGTCCCGAACATGTTCCTACAGGAACATAAAGAGGCAATTTACATAATCTACTATTTAATTACATACATCAGTATCATAAACATCTAAAAACAATTAAAACAATAAAAATGTAAATATATTAGAAGGACTTAGAAATATAGATTTGGCATATTGGAAAGTAAGGTAAAGTTTTAATCTTTCACAAAACTCATTCAAATTAATTCCCAAAACAAGTAACAAAATAGTTAAAGAAAATTTATAGGTGTAATAATTGAACTGTTTTATTTAAAGGACACACTAATTTATTAAAAATAAGTGTAAAGATTAGATAATTCTAATCGTTTTGTTTTATCCTTCCTTAAANTAAATAAATTAGTTGCTTATGAGGTTAAATATTTCACAATAAAGAAATTATGTGTGTACCAGCAAACCTGCAAATATAACACCTCTGAATATTGGATAATTGTTTTTTTTTTTACTTACTGAGTTAAATTACTAACTTTGTTATAAAAAAACTTAGAAACCTCGGTCCAAACAAAGTTAATAAACAATTTTGAAGGCCATAATTAATTGACTCTTTAACACGTTTTATACCTAATTATCTTATAAAAATATAAAGGTGCGTGAATCATAAAAATAAATTACTTTAAGAAATTTAAGACTGAGGATGTAATTAAAAAATCTAGGTAAATTCTGAAGTAATATTTTAAAGTTAAAAAAGCACAATAAATAAATCTTTGATTACTTCAACTCAAAAATAAAACGATGCAACTGTTACAAAAGTTTCAATATCAAAATTAAATTAGCAACAAATTAAATGAATCTTACCGTTTATTAAATATTTGAGGAGATATCCATTCTAATCGTAAAATGAATCCATCATGCACATTTTAATAACACTGCAATGTCAATGATTTAATAACTCCCAGGGCTCGGTTTTAACGTGCTATATACAGGTTTTATTCATAGTAATAATATCACCAATTTATTTAATTATATCTACTCGCAAAATTTTATTAGTTTCATCGTTATTTCGTAAAATCGACAAGTCTTTTAACCAGTTTTGTGTAATTTTTAATTCACGCGTTTCATCACATTTCAGACAAAAGTGTCTAAACAACCTAACCATGTCTATCTTGAAAAATATTTGTGGTTACACATCCGCCATCCACTCCTCTTAAATTTAATCTTTTAATAGTTGTATTTTTGCTTTATTTATAAAATTGCTTTGAATTAAATATTTGTTTATTAATCGTTTATTGATTGTACTTTTTACTTTCATTAATCTACCCATTTACGATTAGGACATACAATGCCTTATTTATCAATGTTATTTATTTAAATGTTATTACACAGAATATAACAAAGTTAAAAAAAATCAATTATTC